TTATCCTCATATCATTAATTTGAATTAATTACCAAATACAATATGTAGCAAAAATTAATTTTACTTAGTGATGAATCAGCCTTAAAGGAGTAATTATCTAAGAAGATTAGCATTTCTATATTGATCTATTTTGCCACTCTATTAAATTACTCAGTAATTCTTATTTTGAGCTTGTGACTTTCTATTTATGTTGGGACTATCCATAAAAGGATGCCGGACAGTGTACCTTTGCTATCAACAACAGCATATTAGCATCACACTTTTCACCTCTATAGATCTCTCCCCACAAATGAGGTAAGTGACCCTCAAATGTGGAAGATATTGGCCCTTTAACAAGCTGAAATGTGTGCTTTCATCTTTCAAATCCTACTGCATTTTTCTTCCTGAGTAGCTGGTTTCACACTAATGAGAAACACTTTAAGATCATCTTATATCTCCCATTAAGGGTGAGTTATCTCAAGCAGTAAAGAAGCCTTCTGTTTTCTATGTGTTCTTTAGGTTTAAACCTCTTTGTCACTTAAAGCATTTGAGTTTTACACTCACAGCATATGCATCTGTATTTATAAAAACATTTTCAGCTCGTTTTCATTTTTGTTACAAATGGCCAGTACCTTTATTCACCAGTTAATGAACATTAGTCACCATTACCTGCTCAGAAAGAGAAGCGTTATGATGTTACATGGTTTTAGTAAGAAACTCTCCAGGTTGACTGATGCTCCAGAATTTTTAGACAAAACCATTTTAAAGATTCTTAACCCTAGTTTCTCAAATTTCTATTCCTCTTGACAACTGTAATTCCTAAAGCTCACTGCAAAGTAGGCCACAGAAATAAAAAGAAAGGTTCGTCGTACCAGGACGTGTGAAAGGCTGGGTGGGGGGAAGGAAACTGTGTGGAACTAAAAATGTTTTGATTGATTTTTGTTTTAGTTTATTAGAGTAAACAACAGTATAAACATTGCCAATTATAATAAGTTTCATTGTCACTAGAGAGGGATGTATCTGTGTTTACTATTCATTCCATTCATAGAAGTATACAGATATTTAGTCAGATTTTTAATTAATTTCCAGAGCAACTTTACAATAATATGATGCTGTACTGACTTCTGAAAAGCCTGAAACGTTTCTATTATTTTTAAGTGCATTTATTAAATAGGGAACATTTGCATGGATCTGAACTGGAGCCCCCTTGCTCCAGAATTTTTCTGAGCATTTAAGGGCAGAAAACAAACTCTTTAGTCTCATTTTACCTTGTAATAAGTCACATTAGTGGGACTATCTGCATGTTAATATTTTGATAAATTGCCACCTTTTCATGGGGTGCTAAAATACAAGCACATCTGACAGTTCTCCTGCTGGCATTTTGTGTTTTACTGCTTCACTACCTGGCATGTGTAGGTGGGCAGTGCATAGCACATATTAGCAGCTGGGTGGTGAATGCAGAGATAAACCCCAGAGGCCTATTCCACTGGTTACTAGTAGTGCAGTTCATGCAACACTGACTGGAATTATTCAGCTTTCATCTGGATGCACACAAATGTCTTAGACAGTTTTATATTTGTACACTGTGTCCATTTTGCACGATGTTCATTACTTCAGCATTTGAGAATTATAATTCTTCAGAGTTCCCTCATGAGTTACCCCTGGTATTGCAAATTCTTTTGGACAAATGATTTTTCAAAATAGATATAAGCTAACTGAGAAACTAGCAATAAAGAGTCTCAGAAATAATTGTGTTGAAATGCTTGAATTTTATAGAACTAAAGAGCTTAGGCAGCTTAAATTTCTTAAAAGATTGAGAAGTAATTCTCTAAGCCCCAAACTGGTGCATAAGCCAAGTTCTTGACTGGACAGAGAAGGAATGAAAAAGAGCTATAAAACCAAGACCAAAAAAGCCCACAAAACACTGCTTATTCTGCTCTAACCACTTTTGCGATTGGGATCCACATCCAGGAATTCTGTCAACATGCAGTTACATTTTTACTTTTCAGCTGGTCCAAAACTGTCATAAATGTTTCTTTACCTTGAAATATAGCACATTATTGTCTTCTGAGAGAGAGAATGAATCAGAAATGCATGGTTTCAACCACAGTATGACTAGCATGGCTTTAGACTAATGACTGAACACGGAAAGATCTGAACTGTATGGACAGTCAGCTTAGCTTCTCTGAACAGGACCCAAAAAATATGTCTGTCCTTCCATATAAGACTACTAAACAGTTCAGTGACAAGCACACTTTTCAAAAAGTATGTCCTTCTCTTCCTGTACTTCATGTTGCCCTGTTGACAGCTAATCTAATAGAGTTTATGGATTTTTATTTCTTTTGTACTTATAATTATTTTGTACAAAGCTGCAGCCACCAGATTTATGTAAGTACTCCTGTCAGAGATGAGCACTTGAAAGTTTTGGCTGGTCTCTATAACTGAGCCCACAGTGAACTTAGCTTGGGTTAGTCTATTGGAGAGATCTGCTAGAGATACAAAGATGGAAGGGTCAGGATCTAGCTCCAGAGCAGATCTGCTCACTACACATAGAGACACTGAGGTGGTGAACTGCTGCTGGATGGGATTAGTGTTTGCAGTATATGGTTTCTATGGCAGTACATTAAGAATCTTGCCTCAGGTCTGGCAGTAGATTCTGAGAACAGATATTTTGCCAAGAATTCTCCAAATGATGAAGCAATTGTATCTGTGTTTTTGGTTTGTTGTTGCTTTATCCCCTGGAAAATAAAATCTGATAATCTTTGCTTAGTAGGATGTATGCAAACTCTACACTTCAGTAAATTGCAAAGGTTGGTGGAATTTGCAGGCCTCAGTATAGGCTTTCCAGATGCTTCTGGAAAAGTTCTTATTGGTTTGCAGTCAAGTGTAAATCCTAAGGAAATCTTGCTACATTAATACCAGTGCTGGTAGGAGTGTTCTTCTTCAAAGCAATTTGAGTCTACATACAAGTCTGTTTTCCTCTAGAGACTTTTTCCTTAAAATTACACACCCTTGAACTTTGGTCTGTATTATAGAGGAAGATTTTATGTAGGTCGCATGTATAGTGAATTGTAAAAGAGGCAAATATAGCAGAAATACAAAATTTTAAGTCAACTCCTTGTTCAGCTTGCCTGTTACGTGTTCACGTGTGTTATGTGTTATGCTCTGTCACATTTAATTGTTAACATGATGCTTCTGGAAAAGAAAATCTATCCATATGAGTCAGTTAACTGCAGTTTAACTGCCTTTAGAGTTCTAAAAGACGACTTAGGTAAAACCTAATACTTATTGAGGGGAAGATTTAAACATTTTTGCAAGAGGTTATGTATAAAACCTTTTGGCAGTAAATGCACTGCAAAATAAAGGGGCTATGTAATCAATACAAAGGAGTCTGAAGTACAGATGTAAGCACCGTGCAAATAATTTTTTATGTGAAAAGATATACACAAAATATTTTTACATATGAAAATACTTATTAGACAAAATAACTTGAAGCAGTGGAATAATTGGCACATATTCAAATTATGGTTAATTGAATTCTTCATCTGTGGCTCAGAGAGCCACATGGGGTACAGACTGTGCATAGAGGAAGTAATTTTCATTAACAGGATATAATTTAGAATGGGAAAACATATACACTCTGCCTGAAACACTGTTAATAATTAATATGGAATAAATACATAGACATGTACTGTGTTACCATATTTCTACCTGTCACTCTAGAGTTTCAGCAACTCATTTGCATCCTAAGTAAGTATATTTATTCAGAGAGATGACACTGTAACACTACCTTTGAAAGTGGAAGACCTTTATGTCACAGCACCGAAAATGACTCATCCTTTTTACTGAGATGGCAAAGTGAAATTAGAATCATGATTTGATCTACTTACATCTTTCAAAGAAGTTTGCATGTCTCTGAACAAACACTGTACAGCTTCTCAAAAATGATAAACAGTTCTCAAACTGATCATTACTTTTGAGACTGTATTTCCCAGCTACAACAGAGACAAAAGGAATCTTTTAAAAAACACACTACTTCAATTTCGTGTTCTAATTATATATAATATTTATTATTTTGTCTCTTATACATTTTGTTAATATTGAGATATATTTGCATATATGAAGCAAGTTATTTGAAGAATAAAGTATAAAAAAACTATTATGCCTGATGAATGAAGAAAGTATATGATATCAGTGAAGGGAAGGGATGAATGAAAGCCAAAATGTCTATTTGATTCAAGCTCTGTCAATGGCTCAGTGCATAAATTTTAAGCAATCTGCGTTGCACTTAATCCTGAAAACGATTGATGTTATTTTGGATAGAAAAATCTGTAAATCAGGATCTCTTGGGCTTCTCTTAGTACAAAACTTGATTTTGGTCTTAGCTCAGGAAAAGTGTAAACATGCTTAAGACCAGCTCCATTTGAGACAGAGCTCTAACATGCACGTAATCTATGGCTTCAATAAAAGTGAAAAGTGTCCCTAGGATAATACTTTGAATCATGTTGAAGATTCCTCGACATTTCAGCTGACCCCTGAAGCAGAAGGGTAGCGAGAGCCTTGAAAGTACGCGACCTTAGTAGACCTTAACCTGCCCTGTGACCTCTGCCTGAGAAGGAAGGTGATGGCAGACATCTGAGGGAGGGCAGTTACTAGATGAACCCTTGTAGGTCCTCCAGGCATTTTAGTTGGTTGTTTTTATAAATGTTTCTTTCTCTTTCTTCTAATTTGAGCAAACAATTGTTCTGCTGCATAGATTTTCATGACATGCTTTTATGCATGAGTATAGTAGTGCAAGGAAAAGATTCTTTATTTCTCTTGTCTGGATTTCAATTATCAGCCATATGGTAAAGAACCTCGAGAGATGAGAAGTGGGAACAGACTGTTAATCTACAAGAATGCTTTTTAATTCTACTCATTTTGTCATATTTCTGCCATACTTATTTTATACACTACAGTCCTATTTAGTCTTTCTGAATTGTAAGGCTGTACTTAGCATTTCCTTTTCTTTATAACAACAGGTGGTAACAATATTGGCAAACATGTCTGTCTTAGACCAATGTGCTTCAGAAATCGTTCAAGGAAATGGTATGTATTTTAACTGAATTATATTCTGCATGTGTCTGTGGACAATATTTGAAAGGAAAGGAATAATTACTAGTTAAAGGAGAAAGGCTTCAGAACTAATACTTCACTTTGCATCCCCTTTCTGCTGGATATTGCATATTGCTGCAGGGTGCAAAGTGAGTCCTTGGGATGGTTCCATGCAATGGAAATTAATTACCACTGCTTTAGAAAACTTTGTGTATAAGGCAGTAAACTGATTGTGTGTGTGTTAACTTATTTGTAGACAGAATGCAAGGTGTTGGTTCAACAACTGTTATTCTTGAAGTCACATTGTGTAAGGTGGCAATTCTTACACATTGAAATATATTGTGTCACTTATATTATTATTATATATTATTGTTTCAAATATATTGAACCCCTTACTGTTTTTGTTTGACTTTGCTCACGAGTATTCAGAGACACAAATTTTGAAGCACTGTTTATATTACTGTGCAGCGCTTGCCAGTTTTTTTCCACACTTCTTTAAATATCACATTGTGAGAAATTCATGATACCAAAAAGAATTAAGTCCACCAGAAGAAAGCTTACAGGTTAGGTTAATAACTGTATGAATGAGAACACAGGAAGACCTAATTGCCTTACTAATACATCTCTCAGCATCTTCGTGGCTAAGGTAAACTGTAAGCTTTTTTTTTTTCCTGTACTCTCTAGTGAGAGATATTCAATAACTGTTTTACATACGTTGCCTTTTCTGTCCTAGAAATATCCCTTCCACAATTTTTTAAAATTAATGTTTGATAGGAATGGCTTGGTTTTGGATCCATTTGAATCTCAAACATGGATGGAGGTGGGAAAAAGTATGTAGAAATAGATCTTGAGATAGAACTGGTCTGCTCCAAAGTATGTAGCTCTCTCTGAAAATAATGCCTTCTATTTCCTTCCATGGATAGGAAACAGGTACAAAGACCAGAATAACACTATTTGATAGTGCAAATTTTCAGCTCCAAAATATTGATTTTCAATGCTGTCACCACCATAGCTATTCCTTTTCACTGATGAACAAGAGCCTGCATGCCATGCTCATAATAATCTGCACTAGAGGAGATGACCCACTGTTTCACAGCTGCTATGATGGAGCTGTCGCTAGGAAAATGTTGCTCATGCGGTCTATCTTTCATTGGCCTGTACAGATGGAGGTCAGAAGGAGCCAACCAAATCTGAACTAAACGGTGAATGTGGTAGGACGTTCCAGCCAAGATTGGCAATGTGCTCCAGGGTCTTCAAATTGGTACGCGGCCTGGCTTTATCATGGTGCAGGAGAAAGGTTGTCTTCTTCTCTATCCTGACTGTGGAAGTTCAGGGCTTTGGCTTAATCAGTATCATAGAAGTCAGAATTGATAGTTTGTCTGGCTTCCAGGAAATCTAAAAGGATCATCAAAATACAGTGCTGATGTCTGTGTCTTTAACCTCTTCTTTAAAGGGAATTCATGTGTTGCCATTGCATAGTCTACTGTTTTGACTCTGGCTTGTAGGGGTGATATCATGTCTCTTCGCCATTAATGGTGTATTCCAGGAAACTTCCACCACTGGTCTCATATTAATATGTCCTGACAAACTTGCATATAGTGTTCTTTCTGTTTCTCTGCAAGCATTTGTGGGACTCACCTGGTGCAAACTTTGTGACAAACCAATATTGCCACCATCATTTCCAATGCATTGAAGCCAACACTCAACTTCATACACACTGGTTTAATTCACCAGTTTGCCCAGATGAACTAACTGAGATGCTTTTCATGATGTGACAGCTGTGCATGGCTGTTTGCAGCGTGGGTTGTCTTTCGCATTACTGTCACTACTGCTGAAAAGCATCATCCACAGCCTCACTGTGCTAACATTCACTGTTTGTTCTCCATAAACATTCAGCAAGAACCAGTGAATGTCAGTGTGTGCAATTTTTTTCCGCATGGAGCAATCCAATTCCACACCTTTGTTTCATCAGGACTTTTGTGTCAGACGCCATTTTGTCAGACTGCCCTTCTGCTGCCATCAATCACAAAGCAACAAAATGATGGGAAGGTTCAGCCTCTACTGCCACACCACCAATATTTTCCTGTGATGTTGTGAGCCAACATAATAAAATAGGAGGCACTGCTTTCAGCTGCCCTTGCAATACTGGATTTAGCTGTTTCTTGTATTTCAGTGCAAAATTTGTGTTCTGAGCACATAAATATGACTGACAAGGTTCAGACACAACTAATTTGCTTGTTGGGATCCATGTTTACAGAGAAGTAACATGCATGGAAAATTTTGCACGCCTTGGAGATAAGCAGATTGATTATTTAATTTGGGTATCTGTTTCCTTGAGCACACCAGAAACTGTTTTGTTCTTGGGAAAGGTGTTTGATCATGTTTCCACAAGTGCACAAAGATCATAAAAAGACAGTCAAGCATGAAGTGCTTTGTAGCACAGGGACATTGCTTTGAAAGAACTCCAGCAAGTTGTTGCATACTCATTATAAACTGTACTAGATTTATGTGTGTTCACACCACTAGTGAACTGTGACTAGAAGTAATAAAAAATAAACACACAATACCAAATAGCCCTTTCTCTTTCCTAAAAGAATACAGAAGTGTTTTCTCTAATCCACCCTCAGTGAAACATGTAATTAATGAAAGTGTGTATGTGATAAAGTTTGTGTATACACACCTTAATGGAAATTCATACAGAAGCATTTGCCCCCTGGCTTTTCAGAAGTTGGCACTCAGCTTGTGTATAATAGCTTATTGTATTTGCCTAATACGATGATAATTAGATGCTGGTTGAAAGCCATACTTACACATGCACTAGTGAGAAGGACTTTAAGATCTTGTAGAGTCTGGATGGATTTTCTTCCCAACTTTGACTTATTTTGTATGTCAATTGATCATTATCTCGTTGTGTGATTCTGGTGCTAATTCTCCTAATTATTTATGCAAATATTCTAATGGTTAAAATCCTCTGATGCTACCTAAAGTAATCTGAATTTCCTAATGGCGTATGGAGTCTAATAGCACATAATTGTCCTTACAGTTAAAATAACTTAGAAAATATAAATCAGCACAGTCTCTGGTTTTCTCCTGCTACAATGTGAGTATCTATTCCTACAGGTAAAAAAAAAAAAGTTGAGAAAACCATTTTACATTTTTTTACCATTTTACCATTTTTTTATTCTGAACTGAATAGTCATCACATGGACACAGAACTTCATAATTTCCCTCATTAAGGGGATGCAGATTACTGTAAGCAGTTTGAGATGGAAGATTTTAAAGGCTTGCTTGAAATTACATAAACTTGGAAAAAAACAACCACCACCACTTTTACTTTCTTTTAGTCAAAAGGAAAACCTGAAATATCTTCCTAATGTTTTTGAGGTTAGTGACAACCTTCAGGCTAAATGAATGTTTAAATGAAATTAAGGAATATTCATCTACTTTTCACAATTGTATTTGAGTCAGTATGTATTTGAGCTGTTTCCAAGCAGATTGAATGGAAGAGAAAAGAGTTAGTGCATTTTCTAGTTAAAAAATGTCTGCAGTTTCCTGGTGAAAACAAACATTCACTGATGGGCCAAAATACAGATGGCAAAATTGCAGCTCACATTTACGTATTCTTCCTGCCCTAATCCAGTAGTGATTATATTTACCTATCTTTCTATTCCCCATTACTATTATAAGGTGATATATCTTGTTGGAGAGAAATTAACAATGGCTCTTACATCCTTGTAGGTGTTCAGCTTTTAATGGAAATGCTCTTTGAGAGGTCATCTTCAGGAAATTCAGCAGAAGTTGCTGCTTGTGAGCGAGTTCAACAGAAATCTGCAGTTACACTGGCACGACTCAGCCGGGATCCTGAAGTGGCAGATGCAGCTGTAAAACTCAGCTGTAAGGATGTGTCACTGGGTTAATGGAAAACTGAAAAAGAGGGAGAAACTGTCAGCCAAGGAGAAGCTCTTTGCATTTTTTTAGCCTTACCTGGTACAGTTTGTGGGATAGGTTTCCCTATAAAATCTCTTCAGAAGGTGAGGAGGTTGTACTAAATGAACCTCTGGCTCAATTCCCAGAGGAACCTGAGGTACAGCTTCCTCTCAGCGCATAGCTGTGACAGACTGTGACAATCAACTCAAGACTACCTCCCACACTCCTTTATTTAAAGCCTAGTGCAGGATCCAACAGTGGTCATAAAACTCAGATTCCTGCAAGCTCAGATGTGATGAATCTGATGGGAAGCTACATATTCTTTTGGATGTAGATTTTTAAAGACACGTGGGAGAATTGATGGGGAAGAAAGAGAATCATGATTTTCGTTCTGAAAGAGCAACAAAGGGTAAAAACAATGCATTTCTTGTTTCTGATTTATGACAATCAATCATGAACTGCTAACTCCATGGAGAGTCCCTTAAGTATCTGCATAGCATTTTGCATTAGTAAACTTATCTGGTAGGAGAGATAAATATTAAAGTTTATAAGGGAGAAAGACCTTTTATCCTTATTATCTCAGAAGTAATTTGTGTTTCTAAAATATTTCTCCCAATACTCTTCTGTGCTTTCAGGTATTCCTCGCCTAATTAAACTTTGCAGATCACCAACTGAAAGAAATAACAGTGATTCTGTTTTAGTAGCATGTCTGGTAGGTACCTTTTTACCATCTTCTTGTGCTTATCCTGAAATATGGATAAAATGCAGCCCTTTCAATTTCAAAATGCATAAGCATTGCAAAAACATTCTAAATTCTTGCCAGGAATTTAAGTATAATACTTTACAGTGTCAATAATTTTTCTTCTGATTGAAGATTTAGACACGTATACGTGACTTCATATTACTGAGAAATTTCACTAGAACACTTTGTAATTTAAAGTTTCAATCACTCTTAAACTTCATTCTCTGATGATGCTGTCTTTGCTGAAGTAAGTCCTGTGATCACAGAGACAGTAGCCCTTTATCTAGGTGCATGAGCACACGTGTATGTGTGTGTGAAAATATTTAAGTAAAATAGCCAGAGTCTCTATGATCCATTTTTTTCTTCTTAAGACTCTCACACAATATAGAGCTCAGCCAAGGAGTGACCAGCAGAAGGTTAACACTGCTTAAGAGAAAAATCCTTGCTGCTTGTTGGCCCCACTTGGTTATTGTTGCTTTGGTTAACACACCTAGTTTGCACATGAAAAGTTTTGTTCATTTAAGCAGAACTTATTCAGGATGAAAAAGGTTTGTATTTGGGCGCAAGAAATTCCATGGTTATTCCACATATGAGCTGAGAAGAGTGGTTAATCTTGCATGGCTTGAGCAGAGGCCATAGAATGACAGCAGCAAACTAGACGATGACTTTCCTGCTGCTCTGTCTCACTGAAGTTCACAGAATCACAGAATTGCAGGTGTTGGAAGGGACCTCAAGATGTTCAAGTCCAAATCCCTTCTAAAGCAGGTATCTTACATTCACAAAACTTGTGCTGCACATTCCCTGAATTCATACCTATTTCTTGAGTTGTTACCTGCTTGTCTCAGCACTTCTGCTTCTCTTAGTGTTTTAGCAACTGCTGGATGACACTTTCTGTAAACAGGGCAAAATATTGTGCTTGAGACAGATACACTGCCTCAGGTTTGTAAGTATTGGCACTGAAATCTAAGGGCTTTCACTGTTTGGTATTTTTAGCTTGGTTCTTTACCTCCTGTGCATTTTGAAGCAGGTGATTAACTCTTGTGGTAATGTAGCACTGATAAACACTGTGAGGATAGCTGATCACAACTGTCAGACTTTACTAGCTTAAAGACAATTTTTGTTCTTGAAGAAAACCAGCCTCTGTTCAGTTGTTTCTATAGTGTTAGATTGCTAAAAGGTATGAAATTATATATTCTTATCTGCTGAGAAATACTAATCTCTTAGAAAAGGAGAGGTTATAGATAATAGTATGATCAAAGGAATTTGTTATATAGTCTCATAATACGAAAAATTAGCGGTGTTGTTTGTTTCCAAGTGGTTTGACATGTTTGGTTTCTTTCTATTACCCTTTTATCTAAAAGATCTTTATTCCAGACTTTGCTTACAACTATGGTGGGAGAAGCTTACAATCAAAATGCTCTGGCTGTCATTCTTTCCTTCAGTATCCCACTATCCCCGCTTCTCGTGTCCAGGAGTAATCTACCCACAAAGAATTGTTGTTTAGTGGCTGATTCTGAGGGGGAATAGTAGAGAACAGCAGTGAAAGTTTAGCTTGATAAAAGAGTCCATGTAACTGAGTTGATCTGTTTTGAGCCTTGGCTGCTACTTGGAGATTGTTGTAATGGATTCCTGCAATGAAGACTTTCTCAAAGCTTAAATGCATTAATTTTTTTTGTTTTGTTTTGTTTTGTTTTGTTTTGTTTTTTAGGCAGCGTTAAGAAGACTAGCAGTTATGAGTCCTGATCGACTTGAAGATTCAGATTTTCAGCAGTTAGTAAAGCCTAGGCTTGTGGATTCCTTCCTGCTGTGCACAAATATGGAAGAGAGCTTTGTATAAATGTGAGCCAAAAGCAAGATATTCTTTGAAAAACAATCAAGATAATACTTACATAATGAGATAGTACATACTCAGTTTTACTTAGATGTAGTCCTATTGTTATTTATGACTTATTTATTTTAAGACCATGACCATGTGGCTTGTGGACAAAAGAAATACAGTAAACAAAATTATTTCTGTGGTTTGTAAAGGTAAATTTAAAAAAAAAAAAAAAAAGCAAAACAGCACAAAAACTTCCTATAGTAAGGCATATTAGGAGATTTTATCATTGCAGCCTGACAATTATTGTCATATTTAGTAGAACTGAAAGAAGGTATAGAAGCCAAGAATTTGGTGCTCTTATTTTAAATGCTTGTAATGATGTCTCATTGCTGATATTTTTCTATAGTTGGAACATTTTTCAGTTTCTTTAGCAAATGCATTAATCTGTTGCATTTGTTGCATCAAAAGAGAAATGATCCTTAAGGCTGTAAATGCATTCTTTAAAACGAACGGGATGTCGCCGTCTAAGTCCTTATTGTTCTATCTTTTAATAGAGTTCTGAAGATTTGTAAATGAGATTTTTTCAGAAATTTTTCAAATATTGGCTTGGCATTATGTTAGAGGGCATTTCTTAGCTGTATGAAGATGTGCTTCATTAGAAGATATGTAAATACAGACAACTTTTATTTGCATGTAAAGAAACTAAAAGACTTATAGAAAAGTCTTCCTGAGATCAAACCTATCATAAGTGTGAGATTTAGGATCACTACACTTTAATAATCTTCCCTCCTTTCCAAGCCTTCCAAGAAGTGGAAGTGAGTACATACAGACGTGTTTTTAATACTCAGTTTACTACTTCTACAAAAAATTTTGCTTGCATACGCTAAATAATTAGAACAGGTAATTGCAACTTGAATTTCCATTTGCATTTTTTAAAGCTAGTCTTGTATTTATAAAGCTGTGAAACAGGACTTCCAAGAATTCTTGGAGTTGATACAAGGTGATTTTATGAGTAGAATACAAGAAAAAGAATAGAGTTGATTTTAAAAATAGATTCATCTTTTTCTTTTCATCAAGAAGCCATATGCATTTACAATTAGTCTACCGGCAGTATCCTGAGTGTTTTCTACCCCAGCTTCGCACAAAACGTTCTGTAAGTTATGAAAGTATATGTAATTTTTTCTTGATGACTTGCATCCATTGCTCTGGATCATTTTGTGATTGAAAACTTTATGGTGCTAGGACATATGCCAAATAAATAAGTACACTTCTTTACTGTACTTACTTCATAGATATCTTAAGCAACTTAATTCATTAAAGCTTATTTAGTATTATGCGGTTTTTAGATGACAGGCACCAGGAAATTGCTAAGCCGTGTTTGCCTTCCACATTTTCTTTGTCTGAGGAATCTCCCTTGCTTCAAGCAGTGACAAATGGTAACCACCTTTTCTTATATTCTAGAATATATGTTCTAAGAAGTCTTTGCCTTAATAGTTCTTCAAGGGAAGTTTTAAAAACATTAAAAGACACACAAGAATGTCTTAAGCAACTGTTCAAAGATAAACAGTGAATCAGATGTTTCACAGATGTGATTTCCTAGTAAGAGAAGAGATGAATTCTACTTTGTGTGCATACTTTGAGGCAACTCCTTAAGTTTACGACATTGAGACATATTGTACTGCACAGCTTTCAAATTATTACTCAAGTGACTGACAACATTTTCTTCACATAGCAGAAATGTGTGTATGCTTTGAACAGTAGAATCAATATTCTTCATGTAAAACAATGAACTCAAAACTCATAGTAGGACCTTATGTTCATTTCTTATGTTGATAATCTCTAACAGAACACAATCTGTCAAAACCTGTCGCTTAACGCTGTGCTGAACATCATTCTGTTAACTGCAGCTAACATCAGAAACTATTCATTTGTACACAGGGCAGTTTGTCCCATAATAGATGATGTTAAAATCTCATGAAAAAGAAAACAAATAATTGTGGGGCATATACATTCAGAAAAGGGCAGAGATGTTCTCATGATCATGGCAATGGAGTAGTATAGTAAAACTGGGAGCTCCAAATCCAATTTACACTGATATTACTCAGGAAAGTAGCAGTGGACTTTCGATAGTTAGTGCAAATGTAACAGTCTCTCTTATGGAAAGTACGAGCAGACTGTTGGACAGTTGTTGCTCATAGATCAGAATCATAAAACCAGGGAAATTTCAGTGCTTCCAAGGCAAAAGGCCTAATTCCTGGGCCTTCAGAAGTGCAGCTTAACTGTAAGATAGTAGCATGCTAGTGTCTGTATATATATATAGACGCAGCTACGTGTGTATGTATGCATTTATCCCTTAATCTCCTTTTTTTTAATAGAGGTTGTTATAAAAGTATTTTATATATGTGTTTATATACATAAAAATAATTTGAGAGCGCAATCAAATGTGGCAAAAAAAAAAAAAAAAAATTTGGCTGCAATTGGAATTCAGAACAGTGCTTTTCAGTATTCTTTTTCTTTCAGTAATGTCAGTCTTTGAAAACAGAAAAACAAAATGAATATGTTAGGCATGGGCACGGCATCAGTTCTCATGCCAATCCATCCTGCAGTCTGAGGCAAGGATGTAAAAGCTCTGTAACCACCTGTTTATTGCTCTTGTGAGACCTGACTTTTGCAGATGATAATAGTGAATATAATAGCACTGTTCTTGATTGTGCCTTACCTAGGCAGGAAGTGCTCATTCAATTGAAAGTTCAATTAGAAATTAATGAAAAGAAATAATCTCAGATAGTTTATTGCAATCTGTTCTGTAAAACTCTTCACAAGATATATTTCTGCAATCAAAAAGACGTTATATTTTCAGTATAGTATCAAGTAATTTAGTATCCACACATGTAAAGTAAATTCATGTAGCTATTAAGAATATGCCATTATGACCCATAACATTTTCAAGCCATTTCAAACTTGTCTCAAACAAATATTCAGTGAGCAGGCCAGTAGGAACAAAGAAGTTGACTTTGCTCTCAGGTACAACAATGTGAATCCAAATTAATTGACTTTACTACAAATACTCTCTGTCTGTAAGTATGTAGCCATAATTCTGAGCCCATACTGTCTGTTCATCTGTATTCATATTATAAATGTGGCTGTTTACAGAAAGAAAATACACTTGAATGAATCTCATATTTGTAGTTGCAAAATATGTAATGAAAGAGCCAGTTCAGAACCTCTGTCATTTAAGTGTCATTGAAACCATTTTTGCTACATCTGAATTTTTCATCTAAAGTTGTGCACTTTATTTTTATATATGCTAGAGTTTATGGTAAAACAGTCATCCTGCTTCCTTTCTTCTTCCTTCATTAAAAATTTAAAAGTCATTAAAAATTTGAAGTACAAAATATCCATTTCTTTGGCTGAGTTTTGGATCCCCAGTGTTTGCTTTGACTGTTATTTTCAGTTTTTTAATTTTTAAAATGAATATTTGAAGGCAGAATAAAAATGCTTAATGTCAATGTAGTATGAAACAAAATATTTCATTTCAAGAATTTCACTCAAGTACCCTGTCTGGTGTATGAAAATTAGGGCTCTGTATATATCTTTAATTAGCAGAGTAAGGTAGAAGGCATCAGTAACACCTGTATATATCCGTATGTTTGGACTCATTACTCTATAGAGAATGCATGTAAGTTAGATATTAGCTTAGTTATTCTGGAAACTGAATGTTATAATTGCTGGAATTGTTTCAATTTCATCTAAATTGTTCTGAAAATTTTAGTTTTTGTATGTTTCTAGAAATGTTGGACAAGTATGCAGTGGATTGCAGAATTCTTAGTAAATGATTTGTGTTCCAATGGCTTTGGACAGTGTGTTCAATTGCTGGCTTTAGTTTGAACTGTTTAAAGATATATGCAGCCCAGATATTTTATTTGTAGAACATTTTTCTCTCGGATTTTTTTTTTGTGTGTGTTTAATATATGATTCATTTATGTGGTACGTTACTTGTCTGACATTTCTGTTTAAAATAATATTTGTATCTACAAGAGGCAAGATGACATCTTGGTAAATTTGTTGACTTACCTATTTTCTAAGGTTGCCTATTAGTATTTGAAACAGGATTTGGTCTGCAGAGGGTCACATTGCCTAATGAGAAGACTGATTATCTATCTTGAACGACTTGTTCTAAATATCTAATCTTCAATATCATGCTTCTAAGCAATGGACAGCCAAAATCACAGAATTGCAGGGGTTGGAAAGGACCTCAAGGGATTGAGTCCACCCCATGCTAAAGCAGGTACCCTCCTGCTCAGGTCAGAGAGGAATGTGTCCAGATGGATCTTGAATATCTCTATAGAATGAAATTCCACAACCTCTCTGTGCAACCAGTTCCAGTGCTCTGTCACCCTTATAATAAGTAAGTTCTACATGTTAGTACAGAACATCCTATGTTCAACTTTTAGGTTGTTTCTCCTTGTCCTGTTGCTGCATAGCACTGAGAAGAGCCTGGCCTCATCCGTTTGCCTCCCATCTCCCTTTAGACATTTGTAAACTTTTATCTGATCCCCTCTCAGTCATCTTTACCCCAGACTGAACTGCCCCGGGTTTCTCAGCCTTTTCTCATAAGGGAGATGCTCCAGGCCCCTAACCATCTTTGCAGCCCTCTGCCCAACTCCTTCTAGGTGATCCTTGTCTTTTTGAACTAGTGAGCCCAGAACTGGACTCACTAGTCTAAATGTGGCCTCAGCAGGGCTGAGTAGAGGGGGAGATAACCTTCCTCAACCTGCAGGCCACACTTTTTAATTGCCTTTCTTGGCCACGAGGGCACGCTGATGGCTTATGGCCAACCTGTTGTGCACCAGGACCTCCAGGTCCTTCTCTGCAGCACTCCTCTCCAGTAGGTAAAATAACATTAGCTTCTTTAATCTTAGAAATCTATTCTGATTTTTCCGTTCAATTTTATGTTAAATTTAATATACTGAAAGTTACCCTCTACTCACTAACTGACTCACTACTATTCTTATTTTTAAAGGTAGCTAGGGAAATGGCATTGAGCACTGAAAGATAGATCTAGAGTGAACTTTTTCATCTGAGTTGGAAGTGCTTATCTGGTGGTGAGGTGGTTGAATAGTTTTAGAGAAATTATGTATAACAGTCTCCTTTGAAGTACTAGTACATTTACAAGAAGACTTTGTAACTAAGAGTTTGTGAATTGATCAGTCTCATGCCAAATCATCACTGAATTATAGTAATAAGGGAAAACTGGTAGCATAAGTACAAACAGAGCACTGTCTAGTCGAAGATTTTTTTTTTTTCCAACATCCAATGAGTAACTTTTCATTTTAATAATTAAAGTGAGCTAAAAGCCAAAGGGAACCAATAGGAAAGCAGGGAAAAATGAAATGTGAATTAGTTTACAGCGCCAATTTCTGTTAGAGATAAATTAAAATGAATCAGAAAAGCTTAAATGCCATGAAGATATCTAATGCAGTATCTTTTCTATTGCTGTTGTGATCATTCAGTTCACAAATGCCTAACTGAAATGCATAATGCTTGTACCATTTTCTTCAAGCTTTCTGGATATTACTGCTCTTTCAATTAGCTTGTCTCCACCTTTGAATTTTACCTTTTTTCCAATTCTCTTCCCAATCCATCTGGGGGAAAAACAGTCCGGTGTCAGCTGCCTTCTGGGCTAAATTAAAACAGACATTTTTCTCTTTAAGAATGAATGCCCAAGACAGAGAGTATACATAATGCCACTGAACTGCTTTTAATAGCGGCTATGGAAAAATCCTGATAATGTGTTTGGAGCAGATGTCTAAACATCTTGCATATAGGTATTAATTTAGGTCATGAGAGATGAATTCCAGACACAGACGGGAGGCAAAAGACACTTTTTCAGCAGGGATTTCACATTCTGTTTATGCATCAAATGCAATTCCTATCAAAACAGAAAAATTTGCAGCATTATACTCTCCCTTTGAAATTAGACATTATTTTCTTGTTTGTTATGCACCAAGTGATTTCTATTTGCCAGTGTTGTAAAACAAAGGACTACCTGGACGAACTCACTCTCATGTTATTATAGCTGATTAGATATTACTTATTACTTATCACACCCTACCCAGCGTTGCCTTGAATGCCTCCAGGGATGGAATATCCACCACTTCTCTGGGCAGCCTGCACCAGGGCCTTGCCACTCTCTGGGTAAAGAGTTTCTGTCTAACATCTAACCTAAATCTCCCCTCTTCTAGTTTAAAGGCATTCCTCCATGTATTGCCACTATTATACCATGTAAAAGTCAGTCTATTTTTAAGCTCCCCTCAAGTACTGGAAGGCTGTAGTGAGATCTCCCTGCAGCCTTCTACAAGCTAAGCAAGCCCAGCTCTCAACCTTACTTCATAGGAGATGTGCTCCTGCCCTCTAATTGTCCTTGTGGCACTCTTCTGGACCCCCTTCTACAGCTCCACATCTTCTTTGTGCTGGGTGCTCCAGGCCTGGAAACAGTACTCCAGATGGGGACACACGAAGGAAGAATGACGGGAACAATCACCTCCCTCTCCCTGCTGGCCACCCCTCCATTTGTGCTGCTCAGGATACAGTTGGCCTTCTGAGCTGCAAGAGGACACTGCTGGCTCATGTTTTGCTTTTTGTCCACAAAGACCACAAATCCAGGAGTTCTTCTCCCCATCGGTATTCATACCTGAGATTGTGTTGATCTGAGTGCAACAGCTTGCACTTGACTTTGTCAAACCTCATTAGGTAATGCGGTCTCACTTCTCAAGTCTGTCTAATTCCCTTTGGATGGTGTTCCTTCCTTCTACTGTATCCATTGCACCACTCAGTTTGGTGTCATTAGCAAACTTGCTGAGGGTGTGCTCAATCCCACTGATATGTCATTGATAAAGATACTGAAGAGCGCCAGTCCCAAGACAGACCCCTGGGGGACACCACACATGACCAGCCTCCACCTAATCGTAGAACCACTGATCACAACCCTTTGGCTATGATCATCCAAACAATTATTTATCCGCTAATTGGTCCAACTTTCAAATCCATCTCTCCAATTTAGAGATAAGGATGTGGTATGGGACCATCTCAAAGGCCTTGCACAAATCCGGATAGGCGACATCAGTTGCCTTTTCTTTTGTCCACCAATGCTCTCACTATCTCACAGAAGGCCACGAGTCTCCAACGTAAGTTATCCTGGGCAATATGTCAAATACCAGAGTTAATAAAAATCTGTACACATCAGGAAAGCTACTGTTTAGCAGGATAAAAAAAAAATAAAAGCAAACAAACAAAAAAACCCTCCTCCTATCCAGTATCCTTTATTTCCCAAAAGGTAATAAACTGAGCTGTGAGTAGAACAAAATCATCTTTGTTTTATAGTGATCTTGTATTGCTATTGTCCTTTCTCCATCTGGAAAACTGCCTGCTTTCCCTTCGTTAGTATGACAGATGTCATGATAATTACTGTTACAGTAATAAATATTTTTCCTTGAACTCAGAATGTTTATCTCTAAAGACAATATTAAATAATAAAAGATGAGAAAACTGAAAAATGGAAGCGAAATTAACAAGACTTAAAAAGGTTTCTTCTTAGAAATGCATTCCTGCAGAAAAATATATTAAAACAAGAGTCTGATTAAACAGCTTCTTAATGAGGGAGAAAACTGAAAAATTGTGTGAAGATGTTCCTCTTCAAAGTTATAAAAAATTTGTTATGGTGATAGACAAATCTGATATTATAGCTCTTAAAGGTCAAGAGAACTTCAGAAATGGTGTATTCAGGAGTTTTGCACTTAACTGTTTGAGATGATGAGGTGAGAATTTTATAAATTAGTAACACGAGAGTAATATATGTACATCTTAAAAGCAGAATCCGTTAAGGTGTGATTTCACAGATGCCATCGCTTTACTGCAGTGACAGAAGCTATTGGATGTACTTTTGCTGGACAGAATTACATTTCTTTACTCCTTTTTTTTTTTTTTGTGGTGTCAAATGGAAAAACAGCGTGGACAGTGAAAAGAGCATTTCAATAGTTACAAAGGACTTTGTCAAAATCTGTGCTTTGTGTTTCTGCACCTGACTAGAAAGCTATCGGTCTTGGACCATAGAACAGGAAGGAAGGAGCCTTCATGACACAGAGGTTGGGACCTCACCAGCATTGTGGGTAACATGCTTATTAGTGAGGACTTTTTCTAAGTGTCTCAGGCCATCTTATTGGAAGCCATACTGATATGTTATAAGCAATACTTTCTTAAATATCAAGAACATGCCTTCTATCAACACTGCAGATGGTAATATTTATATATATATTCTGCTTCACAGTTGTGCTTCTTTGTGATTGACTTTCTCTTTACCTTGCCACCTGATGTCAAAAATGAATTAACGCTTGCCTTTAGAGTGAATCAGGATTGCAAGGTATGGATGGACCAATAGCAGGAAAAACAAGTGAAAGATCAAATCCATCATCCGTGAACCCCAAGACTGTTTTACAATGTGTTTCCTGGTGCTTTCTCATTGCTCTATTACACCATCATCGAGGCATACTCCTCACCTAGCACTGTGTCCAGAAAGTTATATTTTCTCATTTGTACAATGAGAATATTGTACAAATATTTCTCCCTAAATACTCAAACCTTAATTATTTTTCCTTTGTGAAAACATTCTTTTTAGTTACCTGAACACTGGGCACTACACTCAGTTGAAATTTCTGGATTCTACTGCCGAAGTTCAGATGATTACATGAATTGTTTCTATTCTTTTGTATCTTTCTTTCCTATGTAGTCTAAAAACTATGGATGTGGTATTTTCTTTTCCATCTTTTTGTATAATTGTAGCTTCCCTAGCACCT